AAGAAATAAAGTCGCAAAAATAATTACAGACATTTAAAATAAAAATGAATATTATTAAAATTCAAATTGTTTTATGGTAAGATATGATAGTATCTATTGATGTTATAATAAGTTTTCAAAGATAAGGGAATGTTTGAAGCAAACCGTAGTAACCCACAACATTTAGCTTTGATATTATTTATATGTATGTCAGAGAAATTAAGAAATATCTTGTAAAAGTAAAAATGTTCTGTGTTAACTAAAATTTAACACTAACACTATACTCTACCTCTGCAATTTTATTTATGGATTTGTTATATTTTGGGTAAGTAGCTATAGATATAGATATAAAAATAGTGTGAGTAGTAAATAAACTGTTTAAAAATTAATGGACTTAAAATATGAGTAATATAGAAAATTATATTCAGATACACAGTAATTACATGATTCCTACCCAAGACTTGAACTTGGATCCAGATATTAGAAGTATCCTGCTTTACCATTGAGCTAGTAGGAGTGTGTTTATTATGTACGATAAGTGTATTATTTAGTTTTTAATAAAATTAGTACTTTGTACCTGAAGACATCAAAATCCTTTAAGCCAAAGCCTATACAATTAATGTCATAAAAAATATTATAACAATAATTCGTAGTGTTGTTCTACGTATATTCAAGAGTGTCCTAAAGTAAGTTTCGTGCCTATATGCATTCAGCACTTATCTTTAACTAACGTACGTGCTTATAGCATAGACTATATATGAGCAATAATAGTCTCACAGGTTAGTAGAAGTATTTATTAACCTAGTAGCACATAAACAACAGATAAACCATAGGTTAACATACCCAACTCCTTTCGTACGAAGGGGCTATCTTTATTTCACTCTAATTTCTTCTAGAAGATAGAAACCATACTGTCTCACGACGTATTTAACCCAGCTCGTGTAGCTCTTTAATCGACGAACAGTCGAACCCTTCATGATTTCTGCGTTCATGTGGATGAGCTAAGCCGACATCGAGGTGCCAAACTGCGCACTCAATTTGTACTCTCTGGCGCAATTAGCGTTATCCCTAGCGTAGCTTTTTCAATAATCCAAGACCTTTCCTTTCTGCATCTTGTGATCATATGCCCCGCTTACGCGACTGATAGACGTGTAAGTCAAACAGTAAAGCAAGATTAAGCCATTAAACTTTGCAGGTAAAAAAATACTATATTTAATTATTCCTAAAGACATAATCAAAAATGAATTGAAACAAGACTAATTTTTGTAGTTAATGTTTACTATTACCTCTATTTTCCATATAGTGAAAATCTTACTTCAAAAATAATATAAATCTATATAAATCTAACTTAATAGAACTATGAATGAATATATAAAATTCGGATGTTTTCTCTCATTCCTACCTTTTGATAGGAATGAAAAGATACGCAACTCTGTCTTGTATTTTCTTGTGTTGAATTTACTTGATTCTTTATATATATATTACAAATTAAAATTATATGCTAGAATTAACACTTATGTTTAAATCTCTCTTTTTTTTGTAAAGAGAAATAATAAACAAATTTACAAACTTTAGATACACCCAGGTACTTTTTATGGGATCTGTGCCCCGCATAAACTATCCACTAGCCAATGTTTTCCTAGAAGTTTATTCTGAGGAATAAGTTATTAGTCATTCCTAAAACTTAAAAGAGATTATTCAATTTTATATAGGTGATAAGGAGGAGTGGGGTGACCCCTTATTTCATGACGAGATACATAATAAACTAAGTAAAGGTGTTTCAATTTAATTATCTCAATTACCTTATACGCTACAACTTGTTTTATTATGTCCAATAACTAGTAATAGTAAAGCTGCATAGGGTCTTCTCGTCTAACTAGAAGAAAACTGTATCTGCACAGTTATTCCAATTTCACTGAGCCAATCATTGAGACAGCTGTTGTATCGTTAAATCATTCATGCAAGACCGCATTTAACGGCCAGGGTATTCCGCTACCTTAGGACCCTCATCGGCTACCTTAGGACCCTTATAGCTAAGGCCGCCATTGATTGGGGTATCCTTCAAAACCTAGTCAGTAAAAGACTAAGAAAATCCGTTAACCAGCCAACATTGGGCAGACATCACACTCAATACTTTGATTTTACATCTTATGCAAAGTGCTTTGTTTTAATTAAACAGTCGTACAACACCACTCTATGCCTCCTATCCTTAACTTAATATTAAGAATAATGGCACACCTTATCCCGAAGTTACGGAGTCATTTTGCCGAGTTCCTTAATGATTGTTAGCTCAAACGCCTTTGTATTCTCTACTTGCTTACTTGTGGTAGTTTCTAGGTACGGTTTATAATACGTATTTATTTCCAGAACATTTAATGCTCTTTTGTTTAAATTATGTGTAATTATACAAACAATTACACAAACCAAACTAAATGTTGTAATACATATAAAGATTTTCCCATCATTTAATCTTTTAAGAGAGTTTATAAACTTAGGGGCCGTTACTTTAATGTTAATACCATAAGCTTAAGGCGAGGGGATATCCCTTTTTCGTTACTCATGTCAGCATTATCACTTGGGGTTTTCACATCGTAGTATTGAAGGTATTACCCTCCAACACCACTTACTTAGCATTAAAAATACCAAGTCTAAGTTCTTCCCAACGTTCTGCTACCCCACAAACGGATATTTCCATTTATGTACAAGGTATAGGTATATTGTTTAGATCCGTTAAATTTTTGACGCTTTTAACTTATATAACTGGCAAATGCCAATTTAAACCAGTGCTCTGTTACGAGATCTTCAAAAAATGGCCGCTTCTAAGCCTATTTCCTGGTTGTATTTGAAAAATACTTCCTTGTTTTTCACTTAACAATAATTTTGGAACCTTTAACTCTTGTTCTGGGCTGTTTCCCTTTAGACATACAACCTTATCGTACTATGTCCGAGAGTTTAAAATTTATCATCGTCCTTCTGAGAGCAAATCCTCACTGATAAAATCTTCACGATCCCCCAATGTATACAATATAACTTGTCTGAGATCACAATTCTATACCTACGATGATATGATTTAAACCACCTACTTATATAGGTTTCGCAGAAAACCAGCTATCCTAGTCAGTTTTGTCTTTCACTAACTTACCACAATTCATCGGATATCTTTACAACGATAACCCGTTCGAACTTTTATAATTCTGATCATGGTAAGATCACTAGGCTTCGGGTCTAATATTAGATACTTACTCATTATTTAATAATTGGTTTATCTAGGACAATTGTTCCATTGAGTGTTATATTTCATCACTTTGGTGGTTAGACCTTTGTTTTTACTTTATTTCTCTTTGTACTAAAGGCTGTCTCGCATCTAACATTAACTTGCTGACCCATTATGCAAAAGGTACGCTCTTATTTTTGAATCTTATTCCTACTTGAGCTGCTTATAAAACTACTATTTACTAATATTTCCCTCACGGTACTATTTTTCTGTCACTTATATGTCATATTTAGCTTTAGAGAAAGGTTTCCCTTAATTCAAACAGAGTTAATTTTCCATTTTACTTTTAAAGCTATTCTCTTTAAAGAGAATCTCATTTGATTTTTATTCCTGAAGCTAGTAAGATATTTCAATTCACTTCGTTTACAAATTGGATTTATCCTAGAGTTGATAGGCTTAACCTAATTTAATTAAGTATTTCTATAACATATAGCTATATATCCATAATAGTTTCTTTATATACTACAAACTCTTTCTTTACTAGAAAAAGTTAAATTTTACATTACATATCAAATACATTACTGAAAAAAACACATTTAAAAATATAGTTACGTAAGTGAAATTTGGAAAAGTCAATTTATAGACACTTAACAATGCTAATGTTTATACTTGTTAATAATTTATACTATAATATTTCCTTTCGCCCTCGAAGATTCTGTGTATTATATCTGCTCCGCCTTAGGTAGTAAGATTCTGCCGGAAGGGAGGAAGTATGATACAGAAGTAATTTCTCCCTCTCTAGTATATTCTTCCCCCCCCCCTCTTCTTTGCCTCCGTCAAGAACCCTCTAGGAGGGAAGGGAGGAAGCTATAATACATTTTTCAGGTGTAATAATCTCCTCTTTATGCTTATGCAGAGAAATCAACGGGTGTGCGTTCCTTATTACTCTCTTCTGCGGTTAATCTGGTTCATGATAAATCCTCTTTTTTGTGGTTTAACAAATTCCCCTCATGTTCTCTTTTTTCTCTCTTTTTTCTGTTTTAATCTTATTTTGTTTCTTCTCTTCTTTTCTCTTTTCTTTTCTTCT